TTTGCTTTAAATGCCAATGCTGACATACAGCCCAGTGGTCTTACGATCCATTTAATGAACAATAATTTCTCGATGACAGTCTCTACTATCTCTTTAAATAAAAACTCATGTAGGTATGTACATATCATCACAGCCGAATTAAGCAAGTTGGTGATTGATACCTAACAATACGTTAATTAGATATAAGTATCGCGATGCTTTTTCATAATGAAACTAGTTTGTAAGCATGCGAAATAAATGTATTAAATTTAATTTAAAATACTATAATAATTTACAAATTCAATTTAAATTTAATTAAAAAAAAAACAATCGAAACAACCATGCTTTAATAACATCACTCAATACAAATACGTCCTATTATTAAAATTTATGTTACGTTTTTGAAGTGGAGACCATTTTTAGTTATCAAACAAATGATATTTAAGCGACCCGTTAAAATACAACGTTGATTAAACCTCGTAGACTGAAGCCATTCCTACGGTTTAATCTATCGTTTATTATGTTTATTTTACGACATATTGAATACTTTTCGAACAATTTTCGTGGCATCATTTGTCAAAATGTGAATGTTGTGATAACTTTTTGACGTGACAACGTCTTATGATTCAATGGAGCCGGCTGCACGCACGAAAAATATGACTCATGTGGCGTTACAACGCTCTGAGGCGTTCCATTTAAGGCTTGAAGTGCAAGCGAGAACGCGCAACGAGCGACAAAGAGGCACAATCGGCCTCCGCGTTCGGCAGCGTTCGACATAATAATATGTCTCTCTCCTTCTTGAGTGAGCGATGCATCCGCGTGGACAGCTGCTATACAATAATACATTTACATGTTTTCGTCAAGTATGAAGTTCAGTGAAAAGTGAATGTGGTATAAATTGTCCATACAAAGTATCTATCAAACAAATAAAATTAAAATTTTCTTTTGAAAAATGATACCATTACATCAGTATTTTCTTATGCCATTGTCACGTTCAACTCAGTACTCGTAAACCGACTTTACAGACAACCGATTTTTTGTATACGAAAATGAGTAAAAGTAGTTTTAATGTTCATATACATAATATAATTTTTAATATGTACGTATAAAATAACTCAACTGTTCCTCTTTGAATGACGAACAATAGGGCAGTCCTCAAAGTAACGAACTGATTTATTAAACTTACCGCAATTGTTATTGAAGATGCGAGACGCGAGGTGAGGTAATACCCTGCTACAATTACAGCAAATCTCTGGTAGTAGAATTGCAGTAATTTATGTCGAAGGCGCTTTTTGATCAGCGTTTTCAATTTAATTTACTGTATCCAATTCAGATTTACAATTTTTGAAGTGTTTCTAGTTGCGATAAATAGAAAAAAGAATACTCATATGTACTTAAGATAAATTTTATAAAGAAAAAATGGACAATAGATCTCTTGGGTCCGTATAGCGGAGTTCACAAGCATCACAATGTTAATGACGCCGCCTACACACTACATACAATACAGCATCCGGAATCGACGAGTTTCTGCCAGGAACAAGTAGGACGGTGGAAGCTACCTGTGTCGATACAATATGGCTTATCATCACTTATATTGAGAGGAACACTGTCGTCCGTAGATCGTATAGGGTACACGATACTGAGTTCTCCAATGTTGACATTTTATTTATCGCAATGCACTTTTGGAATATTTTTAAATCGAGTCAGATCCGATTTGTATTATGACGTTTTAAAATATATAGGTAAGCTTATAGAGAGGTGGATGGATGTATGTTTGATACATATGTGAGTGTGTATGTGTGTATTGTGTTGCCTTTTTTTTAAACTTTATTAATTCCTTTCTTTTCTTTGTTCACTTTCTACTCTTGTTTGATGTCAATGATAGTTACTTGTTTGGTTTTTGTTTAGTCTTTTTAATTTGTTATATGTTTGTTTTCTACTGTTGGTTTTCCAAATAAAGAAAATAAATTAGGGGTTGCGGCTAAGAATTTTAGAGGTAGAAGGTAATATAGAGGCCACTATAGGAAAAGTGGTAACGGTAGATCGAGATTGCTGAAGTCATGTATGTACCCATATACTCGTACCTATACCTGGATAGAAAGTGACAATGTGGAACTTTCCGATCTTAGAGTTATGAAGATATTATGAATTAGGATATTCGTAGTATTTATGTGCTGTAGAATACTTACAAAGCATTTTACTTAACTTGAATTTAAACTTAACCAAAAACAAACCACAATTAGAAGTAGGTACTAGGGATCACCTTTTCTTCGAGAACCACCCACACCTACTCTGAGATCTGAGGCAGGAGTACGAGGGAAACCTAAAAATGAATTGTTAATAGTGAGGTCAGAGTTTGGCTAGCTTTTCAAATGATTATCTAAGCCTATTCTTAACGTAATCGTCACCATCCGAATCATGAGACCGAAAACTCATACGCGTTAAAAAGTTAGTAAAACAAACATTTAAAATCTGAAGACATGATTATTCTTTAGCATAAATTAAAAGGATGAGAGTAATAACTGGACCGGGTACAAAAAGAAATCCAAACATACAAAAAAGTAATTAATAAACCTTTTTTATACATATTATTAATTATTACTAGTAAAATTATAATCGTTGACTGTGTACTTATTGCCGTGTAAGAATTAACGTTCACTCCAGTTTTGATGCACTCACCTAATAATACAAACCATTTATTATGAACTAAAAGTGTATATTCGCTTTGATAAATGACACTCTCTTCAGTAGATTTGACAGGAAACCAACTGAGGACGAACATTTTCGTGAAAATTAATTGTTGTACCGTTGGCATTCTTACCTAAAGATTTGATTCATAGTCATTCCCATTACGGCGCAGCTTTACAGTAAGAGTCTTACATTCCTCATCAAAACATTTACGAATGAATAGATGTTATTTTTCAGAAGTTACATTAACATGCTTACATACTATATTTCAAATTAGTTTCTGATTTTTCAAATCAAATTATTGCACACTGATATTTCATTTTAAAATTGCTCATATTCGTTATTTAACTATTATGTATTTTTAATAAATAAAAATTTAAGTTTTCTATTGTTTAAGCTTCCTCAAGTATGTTGTAATTTATTTGTTTCATTAAAAAGACACAAGTGGAGTTAGTTTCTGTTAGACCAGCAATCTCCAAGCATTGAAGCAATGGGGTCAGAGTTTTCTATGGGCTATTCGTCTTGAAAATTGAACGCGGATATATGCATATGCAAATGACTTAAGTTATAAACTGCTATGCTTCTTATGGTGTTTCGACAAAACAAGAAACAAAAAAGAAAATCCTTAGTTCTATATCTCCCATTTTTCTAAAGTGCATATTGTTTCTAATATCATACTCTCTATATGGCTTTGTTCTTTTTAGATGAAGAGCTACTAAGTTTATTGCAACAAGAGGTAATTAATCTAAGTTCTAATCATAGTCAAACTATTTTGTGAGATTCGACTATACAATTTCGAATTTCATGGACACAGAGCGCGTTGTAAGGATAGATACCGCCCTCCCATCTTTTTCTACCGCGAAGCTTATATTATACAATTGAGATTTATATTTCGTGTTTCAAGAACGATGGTATCATCATTCACTCCTATGATATTCAGCAACAACAATATGGCCTTCTACCACGCATGTGCTTTTTGGTTATCAGGCTTATTCCTGTTGGTCGTGTCTAGACTGATGTTTCTCAGTACATAACCCGAATGCCACCACCTTAAGACATGAGGTCAAAGTCTGAATTTGTATTATATTGTATAATAATATATACTTTTAACATTACTTGCGTTTAACTAAATTTATCATAATAAAACCGTTAGCATAAATCTGGAAAAAGCCGTTAGTGCTTGTAAAATACTACATATTTTCCCTTTAGTTTCCACATTGAGATTACCTTTGTATATTTTTGGACCTAACTCCTTGTTTCATTTGCCTTAATACCAAGGGCCGTGACCTCTGTAGAATTACCTGTGCGACCGTCTAATGACATAATATTTAAGCTCTTAAAGCTAACAGATTGGATTTCAAGATACGTTGCCTATAAATACGTTCATTTTAGAGAAATAGAGATCTTTTAAATTAATCAGTTGCCACTCGCAGCTCGGTCTATTGGTCAACCGATGATATGGATACGCATTCAGCATACATGAGTCACCGGAACTCTGGTAGCATGCATTCGATTATGCGTTTGCTCAAAATTCGTTAAAGAAATGAAAATATTTAACAAATTGATATGTTTATTTAGTCAATTAATTTTAAATATTGTTCCCAATCTTAATTGTTCTCTACATATGAGTCGTCTATTATCAAAGGTGGCAATCTGTGCATTTGGACAAAAAAAAATTATTGATATGTCAATACAGATTGATTTGAATATAATCGTCTCCTTCAAAGAATACGGTTCAAAACCTGCATTAAATAAAGGTTAATAGTTAACCTGTTATTTATCTAAGGTGTCGTTCCGAAGAGTTTTGTGACTGCCAATGGAATACAAAGTCAATAATTCGTTTTTCTGATTTACCAATCATTGTCCAAAAGTCAGATTGCCGCCTTTGATAATAGTCGACTCATATATAACCTTGTTTCCTTTACATATAGTTTCAAAGCTTTAATAAACTTTAATATTAGTGCTGTAGAGGGAAAAAAATATAAAAATTATACGAATTCAGTAAAATTATTCCAGGAAAAAATTAATTAGCTACCGCAGAGCACTCTTTACTTAAAAGCAAACTTTGACATCTTTGTTAAGGTTCAATCGTAAATACAGTCTTGGCTATCCAATTTCATACTGGTAACCATTGAGCCCAGCCGTTTCAGAAAATTCCTTTTCCTTCGGGAGTTGTGAGATAACAAATGATGAAACAATGACGCCATCATGCTAGGAGGCATATTACCCCCGCGCGGGGTAGTGACGCGACGTTGCCGCTCCGCTCCCGCCTCCAGGCTTCGCCTGTGCTCGCTGCCTCGACGATCGGGTCATACCGCGTGCCACCTTCGAACGAACGTCCGCGTACCAGCGCGAGCGAGCTCCGCTTCGCCGTTTCAAACAAACTTCAAACTCACTTTCGTCCAAACCTGTTTCGCAATAGACCAACTTTTGATAAAACATACAGCACGAAAATCACTCTATTTATTTTCGTAGGTAAACTCAAACATAGTTTAATTTTTAATAATTACAAAGTTTAAAAAGTTTGTTTGTAAGTCGGCGGCCGTGTGCGGTGTGCATGTGTAAGCTCTAAAGTCATGGCTGGACAAAGTTCTCACTAAACCGGTAAGTAAAACGAACTTTACTGGAAACGTTTATTTAAAATTGTAATGTATGAGATGATACGAACTCTTTGTACTGTTCTCGTGTCAGTGCGTTGCGTTGGGTTTCCGTTGCACTCCCGTTGTCTGATTAGCATCTAATTAGCCGTAACTTTTTAAACTGTTGTATTTACGTTTACATTACGTGTATTAAAAAACTTTATTGGTGTACCGACGCCAATAAGACACTACGCTTGTTTACATTGCTTAATTTCTGCGAACCGTCAAGTGTTTGATGATTCGTTGCACAGAGCGATTGCACGCTGTTGTGCTTCTCAGTAACGTTCCGTTTGAATAGTGTAATTAGATCCTTGAACTTGACTTCAAATTGTTCGTTCTATAAGTCATTCTAAATTTAAGTCTTTCGTTTTCATAATGATTTTTACCAATTTCATTGGCGGTGACATTAATCGAAGAAAAGTGGAGGACAAATTAATTTTATCTTTGTCCTAAAAATACTTTTTTTCAAGATATTCATCATAAAACAATTAATTGGTCTTAAAGTATATGAGTAATTATGACTGTTTCAAATTATGGCTCACCCATAAATTTTGCTGTATAAGATGAAATATTTTGTAGAGTTTCTTTCTCTTGATAAATTGTAAGATTTATTTTATACAATAACATGGAACCTATATAACATACTTATACCTAGATAATAAAAACAGAGCAGCTCTATGCAAAATTTAACATAACTCAAGTCCAATTAATAAGGCACACATTCACCGTAATCAATATATCAATCAGTTCAGTCGTACGGAGTTGAAGGATCAAATTCGCTACTTCTAATTTAATTGACAAATTGGGGTACAAAGCTAATTGGTATTTAAGGAATTATAAGATCATTGAGCCGCTGTGTCCATTAGGTAAACATTCTAAAATAATAATTTCTTTGTCACAATGTGTTCATGATATGAGCGACGGATTATAATTTGTTAAATTATAATTCGAAATCATTTTAACAGACCTCTTGTAGTAACGAAGGAAAAGCGTACAAAACAAAAAATATTACTATGAAAAGAAGTAAGTTAATTTCAACGCAATTTATCAGTCTCAAATGTTATTGCCAGTGTTTTACTCAAAAGACTTCAACGTCTCAACTTACTTTGAACTTAAGAGAAGGAACAGGACGAAAACATTTTCGTCTAAAATATTAGACTATTTTCTGTGTATAAAATAATATTTACTGATTCATAGTTATGTTTTACATTCTTAATTTGAACATATATTAAATATCTTATTCGCTTTTAGTTTGAGAATATAATTATATAATACGATGAGCCTAGTTAAAATAAATTAGGCTTTTCAATTTAAATTCCATTAACGGAATCGTGCCTTCAAAACTTTTTTCAATAATTCTATACAAAACATAAAAAAAAGTTGTAACCGAAAACCGAATTTAAGTATGTTCAAAAATAACAAATCGTAATAAGAAGCTGTTAGAAATATGAAATAAAATTTTATTTCCGGATCTTCGTCTGCGCTGTTAAAAATGAGGCAGTTGTGTGACTAAAAATGATGAAAGGTAAAATCGTTCTTTGAATAAAGTACCCGCGTATGATACAACAGGAGTTTACTGCTGATAGGGTGTCTTTGAAAACCACCACGAGTAGGTATCATGTGTATAATTGCCCCGAAGTAGTGATGCGTTGCAGTTGGAAGGGCAGGACACTCCATTACAATTTACATTCTTAAAAAACCAGAGTAGCTTAATCCGTTTTTAATGCACTTTTGCCGAATAAAGCTTAATTAGTGTTCATAAGCCGCTTGTTCGGTCATTGTTCAAGGAGTTTCGGAAGAGACTACAAATGTAAAGGGACGCAAAATCTTACTTCCTCGTCAGCAGACATAATCTTCTAAGCAGTAGTTTGACTATGTCAACTGCTTTCAGTGAATATCCCCAGAAACTGTTTGTGAACTTGTAGTTTGACCGCTGTAATGAAAATTCTAGCTCTATATAATAAAATAAGAAGACTTTCCTTGAGTGGGCTATTTATGCTCTATGCATATTTTACCAGCTGCATATTTATATAATATAACATATGTACATAAATATTGCTACTAAATTGTTTGTAAACCAGTCGGAAAGTAAAGATCGGAAGCTGTACGTTCGCAGCTGTTGACAAGTATTATAACTGGATTAAGCTCTCCAGCTTGGCAGGTCCTACTCCGAAAAAGAGGTCAATCGTCAAATCGTACTCGCATGGGTAGCGTTCGGAAACCTACTTAGAATGTTCTCATCACAAATACCACTGTGTCTCAAGACGAAAGCCTTTGACCTATGTATGTTGCCACTAATGACACTATGGCACTAGGACGTGGTTGCTCACAACGGGCTTTATCAGAAGACTCCAGATCACCCAAAGGGCAATGAAGAGGGTTATGCTCGGAGTTTTCCTGCGAGATCAAATTAGGAATGAGGAGATTTTCAGGATAGCCATAATAACTGACATTGTGCAAAGGATTGCAATGTTAAAGAGGCCGTAGGTAGTACATATTGCTCGTAGAACAAATGGTCGTTGGGGCCGAAAAGTTCTCGAGTTCTCTCTCTAGGTGGACCAACGAATTGTTGAAAGTTGCGGAAATCCGCTGGATCCAGGTAACGCAGGACCGTTTTGGCGAGATTTGGGGGAGTCCTATGTTCAGAAGTGGATGTCTATGAGCTGAAAGTAGTAGAAGAAGAATAAACCGATCTATCGACACACTTCGTTGTTATTAATATATATATATTTTTTAATTCCGAATTACACAAGATGATTGTAATTCTTGAGGTGATATGGTTAGTAGTAATGATCGAATTACGGTCATTGGGTGAATTCTAGTTATATATACCTATAGATAATAATCAATTAAATAAAGAAGTAGACGAGAGATGACCGAATTTTAAGACACGAATCTTTATTTAAGGTTAATATGTAGTTTTTTTTAATATGTACAAATAGGATATTTTTACCGTCTTCAAAAGTGAGTTGGATGAAATTGAATATTTCTTGGTCACTCACATTAGACAGGCAGAGTTCTTGTGATCGATTGTCATTCTGTCAAAAATTTTATGTCCCGTGATGCAATAAAACCTAGTAGACTTAATGTTTGAAATCGCTTTGTAACAGACTTAAAATAAAATAAAAATAAAATCACAAAAAAGTACAATCAACATTAATACCATTAAATAAGAATAGATTAGTAACTATGGGTTAGTATGCAGTAAGTAACAATAGCGTTTACTTTAAAATATTCTAAACGGTGTAAACCATGATTTTCATTCGCATCGAGTTCATTCCCAATTTTTTTGTGGACTGAAAAATGTTCTGGTACAAGGATTTAATATCTGAAATGTTAATTCCGTCCATATCTGTTCTAAAACTAATACATGTTTATGAAAATTAAAATCACTTAAACATGTTTTTTTAGTGCAATCGAAACTTCGATCTAATCGTTTTAAAATAAGGTACGCCACTACTATGTGGGGTACGTAGTCCGAAAGCTATATTAATAACTCAATATCAAAATATTTGCGTCTCATTAGATTATATATAATATACAGATACATATATAGATAAAAATCAATACCTTGATATCGTTCTGCCGTTTTAGCTAAAGAATCGTACAGCTGTTGTTTATACCTTTGTTATTGTTTTTTCCAATGCACCTCCAATGTAAGAAAGTCGTGCGAATAGTTCAATTAAAATATTTAATACATATTATAAAGAGCTGCACCACGCCGTGGCCGGGTATTGACTAAAACAAGCGCAACGTGTGAATGTGTTGAACGTGAGCTACATAGTAGGCGTAGTGAGGGGTGGAAGGTTTTTTTTGTTACGGAATTTCATGATTCCGCTTTCAAGCCGCGCTGAAGGCCCGGATAAAATCTATGCAGTAGTTTAAAAATAAAAGGTTAATCTTGTTAGATAAAAATAGATAAAGCCTGCATAGCTAATTAAATGCACGTCCTTTAAATATCAGTAAGGGGTGGTGGTGGTCCTGTCGCCCCTTATCACAACTGGAGCGTCGAGTTCATTCTGTTGTGAACTAAGCTAAGCACTTATATGCTATACGGTTTGTTTAGCAATTAACTAGTCCGTAAATGTGGAAGCTTCCTTTATAGTCACTTCAGGGCTAAGTTGTTAGTAATAGCTCGTTAAGTGTGCAGTTCATAAAATAGTGGGCAGATTAAATCGATTCAGGTCGTTCTCATTTCCAAACATTATCATTTAATGGTAGTGGTGGCTATTTTAAATTAAGTCCAAGTAAATATGTACTTTGTAACTAATATATATTTTCTCAGAACTTATATCTCAAGGTGGGTGGCGCATTTACGTTGTAGATGTCTATGGGCTCCAGTAACCACTTAACACCAGGTGGGCTGTGAACTCGTCCAACCATCTAAGCAATAAAAAAAATTGAATCTCGATATGGCAGGTCTACCCCTCTGTCACGGATCATTCGGTCTTGGGAAATGCGATAGTGGCGGTTCCCTCCTCATAATATGGTAATACCATCGCAGCCCATTTTCTTTCACTTTATTTATGGGAAGGCTCTTTAAAATATCCTCATATTATTATTATAAGGTAGCTTTACATTCTATGCAGTTATGTCATTCCTCCAGCCTAAAATAGCATATTCATTTATGCATTTTTGAAGTTCATATCCCTTAAGGATTTCCCAGCTCTACATCCACTTTAATGGGCTATTGATTTGTATAGATTTCTATAAATCTGTAGTAGTTTGTCAACATTAATTTGTAAAATAATATTTATAATTAACAGAAATACAAAACAAAAGTATAAACGTTTTTGGACTACGGAAATTATTTTTAAATATGTTAAATACTGATTTAGCTTTAGATTTAGATTTAATTTAATTATGATAAACATATTTCAAAATAATAATTAAAACCTGTATTTGAAATGTAATAAGCATTTCAGATTAAAAGGTCGTTACCTAATTACTCTTTAAGTGAGGTAG